GTGTTTCCGAATTCCGCTTTGCAGCCGACGTGGCTCTGGCAGGGGAAGGTATCTGCCAGGCACATGGGGCATTTGATAACACGCTAACATGTCTGAACAGAATCAGGGCCAGAGCAAGCTCAGCTCGTTGGTGGAGTCAACACGCCGCCGTCTGCCTCTGGCCAGGCCCTTGCTCAGCGGTTGAGTGCTTCATAGTCTTCTCTGTTTGCCCACCTGTTTTGCCTCCCCCATTTTAAGATCCCTCAATGAGACACTTGTGTGCAAGTGTCCACATGGGGAAGCTGACAGGCATGAGTGGAGCAGGGGGCACAGAACCGGAGAGCTACTGGCCCATGAGGACCACTCTCCTGCTGCAGCAAACAGCCATGTCCCTCCTAGGTTGGGAAGTCTGGTTGTACCAGTCACCAAAACAATTACGTAGCTCGAAGGACACTCCCTGACTGGTCCTGTTTAAGTGGGGTAGGTGCTGGTGCCAAGCAATGTGAGGCAATGCAACATCACCCTTTCCCCAGAGAGTGCCCAACATGGCAAATTCTACATGTGCCTACATGGTGTTGGCTCCGGGAGGATGTGGAAGAGGCATTATGGGGAGGAAATCATAGCGCAAGATTCCTGGGGGCAGGATGTGAAAGAGAGGAGGGAGCACATGCTGGTGCTGGCAAGGGACAGGGTGAGAACAGAGGAGAGAAGGAAGGAGACAAAGAAGGAGACTTGAAGGGACGTAGAGGAAAACAGAGGTTAATCATAGAGGACATGGAAGGAGGTAAAGGTGACAAGGAGATTTAATGCATTGGGGCAGTGGAATCAGAGAGTGATTACAGAGATGGAAATGATGTAGAGGAGAGAAAAATACTACAGGGGAAGGCAGGGCCATTTAGATGTTACTGATTGGGAACCCCCCTGCTAACGCCCTGCTGTCTGTGTTTTGTCCTAGGGCACTAAATGAGAATATGGCCAATGGCATTGAAGATCTTATTGGGATCCCATTCCCAAACCACAGCAATGAAGTCCTATGTGGTTTAAATGAGCAGCGACACAACGGTCTCCTCTGCGATGTCATCCTCATTGTACAGGACCAGGAGTACCGGACTCATCGGTCTGTCCTTGCTGCCTGCAGCAAGTACTTCAAAAAACTGTTCACTACCAGCACTTTAACAGACCAGCCCTGTGTTTACGAGATTGACTTTGTCAAGCCTGAAGCACTTTCTGCTATCCTCGAGTTTGCCTACACCTCAACCCTCACCATCACCACCTCAAACATCAAGCACATCCTCAAGCGCGGCCAAGATGCTGGAGATTCAGTGCATTATCAACGTATGCCTTGAAATCATGGAGCCTGACAGAGAGGCGGAAGAGGAAGATGACAAAGAGGACGAAAACAATGACGAAGATGAAGATGAGGAGGAGGAGGAAGAGGAGGAAGAAATGGTGGAGGATTTTATCAGTCAGGAGAACCTAACTGATGTCCAAGAAGTAAGCTGTCACCAAAGCCCTTCTAAGTCAGATCTTACCGAAGAAGCATATACAGAAGCACCTAAAGACTTTCCAAATCACTATCCAGACAATAACTCGTCTGGACACTTGGGTGTGATACGAGACTTCTCCATTGAGTCCTTGCTGAGGGAGAACTTGTACCCTAAGACAAACATCCCAGAAAGGATGCTAGCTCTCCCTCCTTTCACCCCTAACTTCTTCCCCCACCTCTGGAATGGCGACTTTAGCTCCTTTTCCCAGCTCGAAGAGCCACAAGTAGACAATAGCCCTTTGGATCTGGTGATCAAAAAGAGGAAGATCAAGGAAGAGGAGGAGAAGGAAGACCTGCCTCCTCCTCCTCCTTTCCCTAATGACTTCTTCAAGGACATGTTTACCAACACCCCAGCAGCTCCCTTAGGGCATATTAAGGCAGAGACTGACTACAGCGCTTATCTCAATTTCCTAAGTGCAACCTAGTTTGGAGTAGTTTTTCCTCCGTGGTCCCTGGAGGAAGAGAGGAAGATGAAGCCCAAGGCATCACAGCAGTGCCCCATCTGCAACAAAGTCATCATGGGGACTGGGAAGCTGCCCCGGCACATAAGGACCCACACAGGAGAGAAGCCGTATATGTGCAATATCTGTGAAGTCCGCTTCACCAGGTGGGCATTGGGTTTCTCTGCCAGACTTTGTGGAGAGGCAGGGGTGGCTGGAGGGTACAGAGTCCCAAACCCGTGGATGATTCCTGTAGCTCTACCATGGGTGCCATGAAGGGAAGCAGCACCCTGCCTCCAGGGCAAGCGGCAGGCAGCAGAGGAGAAAACCCTTATGGTGGCACCAGGTGGCCCCAAGTCATGGTGTTTGTTACCCCCTAGATGGAGGTGACAACTGCAGCAGAAGGGCTGATACCTGCTCTGTCAGTGAAGGGCAGAGGTTTCCACCTGCAGTAGTAGTAACTTATCAGTATAAGTTAAGAGCAATGATCCTCATCTGAAGTCACAGTAACTTCTGTACTGGGTCCTTTGCATTCGCCTGCTACCTCAGCGCTTTGCTGTGCTTTACCAGCAGTAACACAGGGTTGTGAAGACACAGGCACCTAGACTATATCTTTTTTGCCCTAGAGGGAGTAGGAAAAAAAAAAAAAAGATAGAGCTGAACTCTCTCTCTTAAAAGCGAAAAAAGAAGGGAGGGAGAAAGAGAGAAAGAAGGAGAGAGAGAAGAAAGAAAACAAACTCATGTATTTGAGTGGCTTGTGAGTGATCTGTCTTAATCACTTACTGTACAAAAGCTGAAGTAAATAATAGAGGATTTTCATCCTCACCATAGTTCACCACAGTTGGAGCAGAAAGTTCTGTTTGTGCCTAAGACCAGTGGAAAACAGATGGCTGCTTTTGGTGAAAGAGCCTAAGAAGCTTCATCCCTAATGTGCCAGGAAAAGTGCTGAGTTGGGAGGGGACATTTAGCTGTGGGATGTAGTTTGGTTTTGCACATCGTTTTGGCATCAGTGTAGACCACTGATGGTCTACATGACAGTGTAGACCATGGCAGTGTTTGCATTTCCTGAGGCCAGAGCAGTCCTAATTGTTGTATGTTCATCTGCAAGGGTGCGATTGACCTGTAATGTCAACCATCCAAGAGCCGGCAGCCAGGCTCACTCCACAGAGGGACGCTAGAAGCCCCTTCGGAGTTGCTGGCCAACACAAAGGTAGATAAGGGGGGGCCTTTCTATCGTTGACTGCAAAGAGCTTGTGGGACTTAAAATAATTTGTTTTTAGGGAAAAAATGCATCTTAAGGGTTGCTTGCTCCAAGATAGGCCTGAGCAGAGACAGCAAGCTCAGATGCACCCTCTGTGCGCATTCCTGGTCTCACCAGCTCTCTGCTCCCTTGCAGAGTCCTAGATGCTCATAAATCAGAGTAGGCTCTGAGAGGGCTGTGCAAACGTAAGGCCTTTGAAAAGCTGGGCAAGTTTAATTGGTGAGCAGAGACAAATAGATTCCTGGACTGGCTCATGCTGGGTATAATTAATATCTAATGAGTACAATCTTTACCATAATAATAAAGCTTTCTGACAAGAGCATGGTATTTCAGCTGCTGGCTACGTGCGAGACAGAGAGCCCCGTTAGGCTGGGGCCAGCAAAGTGGAGGAAAATGATGTGCGTGGTAGCTGCCGAGCTCCTGACAGCGACCAGACACCTGGGGTGCTCCTCTATTCAGCCTGTCTTTTCTTCTCCCGTCCCTGTGATAATATTCAAGTGGAATTTATGCAGATGATGAGGATTTGACCTGACAATAAATTCCTGTGCTCTGCTCTGTCTGTATTATAATGCATGAAGCATTGCGCCATGGCCAGGCGTATGCAGGCTCCGCGTGTCCCATACCGATGTCAGCACCCAGACATTGCCTCTGGGCACACATGCAACAGGACGAGCAGTGGGGTTCTCCCCGGTGGATATATCTCCAGACTGGCGCCCAGGCCATGGCTGGGGCTTGGCCAGGTGTCTCCTGAGCCCCTGTCACTGCTCCTGGATGTGACACTTCAGTGATAGTTACAGAGAGGAAAGTGGGATGACTTGGTAGATTGGTGACCCCTTTCCCGTAACGGTAGTGCTAGAGTTTAGTCCTGCCTTTGCAAACAAGGCCAGTATCCTGGGCTTTGTCTGGGGAGACTGAGGCACGGAGAGATGTTGACATTGGCTCACACTTACTGCAAAAGCTACTAAGAGGGATTGGGTGAAAATTTGGGTATCCTGACCCCTACTCCAGGCTATGATAGACCAGGTAAACCAGCATCTGGGAGCCGAGATGCTGCCTGGCTGCGCGTGGCTCTCGGAGGATCTCTGACCCGCAGAGCTGCAGCCGGGAAGCTGGGCCCCACAGCAAGTGGCTCCTTCCAGTGAGGTGACATTTTACGAGCTGTTCATCGCCGCTCTTCATCATGGAGGTGGCCCTGTCACGTCAACCCTTCCTGGCTCAGACCTGCCGCATGTGCTCGGAGTGGCTCCTGCCGCGCTCGTATTGGGGTGCGTGCGTCTTCCTGGCCAGAGGGTCTCAGGAAGCCACAGCACATTGAGCTGCTCCTCCTTGGAGCTTAAATATTGAGTCATTTTTGAATCACAGAGGCAGTTCCCACTTAATTTTGGCCATTGAGGTTCTGCTCCCCCTGAGCTCTACGCCTTGGGCTTCCTCATGCTGCATCCCGTGCCCAAGTGGCAACCAGACACCGTCAGAGGTGGTCAATGCCACCCATGGTTGGATTCCAGCCTCAGCACCTTGGGGTGCTGAGCTTAAATGGGCTGTCGGCTGGTCCCATCACCGCAGCTGTATTCTCTACTACTGTCCTCTCTGCTACTTTTCCTCTGGGAAATTTGAGTGAGGAAACCCAGTCTCGAATGGGGCAATGCCTGCAGTTGCAAAGAGCCTTCGCTTTTGCAGCATCACACCCCGTTTTGGCCTAGCATGGACCATTACTAATCGGTGTGTAAACTTCATGGCTCCTTTGTGCCCTCCTTGTGCCCCGCAGCTTCTCAATACAAAGCACGAGGTTGGGAGGACTTTCAGCCCTGAGGCACCATCCCTCCCGTGTCCCTATCCCCTTGCATCGTCCCTCGCTGGGATGAAGTCATCTGCACACAGCGTTTGCAGGGTCCGAGGGAAGGCTCCCACCTCCCTGTGCAGAGCTGAAGGCTGGAGGGTTTTTTCCTACTTTAACATGAGCAAAGTGAAAGTTTAAAAACGTTCATTTTATTTTTTAAGGCTGCTTGCCTTATGCATTCCACTCTCCCAGGGAGTCTCCAGCTTCCCAAGAGCATCAGGCTGTCACCCACCACAGCCAGCAGTGGGGGATGCAAAGCTGGGTACTGCACGGATTCCTGGATTAATCCCTCTCATGCATCTTACCTGCACTCCCAGCTGATAAGCAGGAAACAGAGAGGGTTCCCTATGTCCCACAGCAGGGACCCTGCATCGGTCCTGGCTGTGATGGACATCTAATTGCAGGAGGCCAGACTTCATTCAATAGCTCATTGTTTTTTTTCTTAAGCAAAGGCTGTTCAGGGTCCGGGCTGCTGTTTTGCACTGCTAAAGGACTGAAAGAAAGTGCAAATATTTCAGCTTTTCCACCAAGGCAGCCCCGGGGCATTCTGCAGCCAGAAAGGTTAACTTTATGTGCTCGTATTATTTGTGTTGTGACAGCTCGCGGAGCCCTAATCACTCTCCCAACACAATTGCATTAGGGGCATCCACATGTGGGTGGCACATGTTGCTCACCACAAACCCGCCACCGACCCTGCAACAGGGCATGTGGCAAGCCGGACAGCTTGCTCAAAACACCCAACCTACCAGCATAGGAGCCACATCTGGCTGCCCCTTTCCTGGGAGCTTCCCCCTGCACATCTGCATGCACCGAAAATTATCATTTTGAAGGAAAATAGCCAAGAAAACCTCCCTTGTTCTATAGCCTGTGCGCTGCCGCGGTGGTAGAGACATGCAGGGAAGGATCGCAGTTCTCCCTGCCTGCTGACAGAGATGGGTAATAGCCTGCAAGAGCTCTGCCTGTATTTACGTTGTACAACCCTGGCACGCCACATGTTTATTAGGAAAAGCGATCCTGCTAGGTTAAACGTTACATATATAGGTTTAAATTATATTAGAGGTGGGGCTGGTAGCTCTGCTTTTTATTAACGTTTCCCAACACTTTGCATTACGAGACCCTGTTCTCGTTTGCTTGTATCATCGCCACGCGTGCTGCGCTTGGGCTGAAATTTTCCATGCATCTTTGTGTTGTTTCTGAGAACTGGTTTCAGCACTTTCCGAGAGTGAGGCTAAGGGGCAACATGCCCATGTGGCATCGCAGCGTCTTTGCAAAGATCAGGCCTGGCTCTTGGAAGTGGGATCTGGGGCTGGTGTTGGCACGAGGCCCGCAAGGGGCATTTCTCTGCCTCCCTGCAAATCTCCCCAAGTTGCAAGCCTCAGAAAACTGAAGGCCGTGCAAGCTCAGTCGAGCTGTGGAGCAAGCAGAGAGCATCTCTGTCGCCTGCAGTGCTGCTGCATCATCCCCCTGGGGCAGGTTTTCCCGAGGGGATATAGGATCAGCGCACTGACAGCAAGTGGTTGGTCTGACTCATCGGTCCATGGGTCGCACTCCTAGGGGTCTGTACGGTCCCGTGGGAGTCCCATGTGTTGCATCAACTTTGCTCTGGGCACTAGATGACAGGACTCAGGCAAAGCAACAGGATTTGATCACGGCACCACAAACTATTTCAAGAGGGGCATGGGCAGGGTGGCAGAAAGCTGTGTGCAGTCAGCAGCTTGCACATTTTTAATGCTCGACCTGAGCATAAATATTTTTTTTTGCATGTTCACATATTTTGTATATATGAATGGCATGGCTCTATATATTCTCTGTGTTCTTAGCCACATCACTCGAATGCCACATCAATGTCTTGAAGAGATCGAACTGAAAGCATGTCAGAAATCAGTCTAAATGCCCTCGCTTTGCTGTTTCCTTGCTTTCTGCGCCACGCTGCACTTGTGCAACCTTGGCCTGGCTCAGGCAGCTTCGCTTTTTATCATCATGTGCCTTAGTTGCGAAGCTGCAGACTGCAGAGGGGAATATTTATTTATTGGGGGAAAAAAAAAGAAAACACAATAGTGACTGCATGGCCAGTTTGGGAAAACATTCTTACTGCTTGCTGGTGTTTCCCCACTCCGGAAATCCTGCCTTTGCACATGAAGGCAATCAGGATGGGTGTTCTGCCATCCTGTGGCTGCCTTTAAGAACCACCTCCAAAGCTTGTGTAGTCGTTGGAGGCTGGAAGTGCAAGTGTGTTTGTGTGTGTGTGTATGTGTGTGTGTATGTGCCGGCCTTGGAGGCTCCAAACCGTAACCCATGGAGCACCCAGCTGTGCCCACGCTCTCGCCTGGGTAGCAGCTCCAGCTTCAAACGAAAGCTCCTGAGACACCCAGTGGTCATTAGACGCATAAGAGCAGTTTGCCTGCAGAAGCCTCTCTCCTCTGTGGGTATTCCCATAGGTAGCCTTTACTCTTTCCTTTTCTTTTTGTCATTTCCAATTAAGCTGTTTCGAGTTCACTGCAAACTCCTAAAGGGCTGGGGCTACCCCTCGCAAGCACCGATCTCCTCCGGTTGAACCCAAACAAGCCCAACAAGCAGTCCCAAGGAGTCCTGATGCTCAACGTGCCAAAGCCCCACCATCGCAGGGCCAAAGTCCTCCTTGGAGGACGGAGGAGCTGGTGCAGGGGCTGGGGGCCATCCCTGCACTGTGTCTCTAGGTGATACTGCCCCTACCACCACCTCCTGTCTTCTTGAAGGTCTCACACCCATCCTCTTCTTCAGATGTGATAGAAAGGGGGAGATGCACCTGGGCGCCTTGCTGCCTTGCCGATCTTGCTCTTGCTTTTGCAGGCAGGACAAGCTTAAGATCCACATGCGGAAACACACAGGTGAGCGGCCCTACCTTTGCATCCACTGCAACGCCAAGTTCGTGCACAACTACGACCTGAAGAATCACATGCGCATCCACACGGGCATGCGGCCCTACCAGTGCGAGTTCTGCTACAAGAGCTTCACCCGCTCTGACCACCTCCCCCGCAACACCAAGCCCCAGAGAC